CGCCGGCCGTCCCCGCCCCAGGGGCGCCTCGCCCGGCCACCGCCACCACACTGTGACTGCTGTGAAAGGAGGTGTACCAGAAAGATCAAGATTCCTCATTTCAAATTCAGCACTGTCAGTGGAGTTCAGAAAAGGCGTGAGCAGCCTGTGAACGTTATACCATGTTAATCTACACGGGATTATATTGAGATAAAAAGACATTTGATTCATCTGTGTTGAGCACACAGACTGGCTGGTTGGAAAGGTAGCCAGTATCAGACTGATACTCACCCTTTTGCACAGCCTGGGTAATAAGGCAGAGCAGCCTGCAGAGTCGTATCTGGCCGCAAGTAATGGCAGGGTAAGGGGGTGGGGAGTAGCACAGTAGCTGTAAGAACCTACAGATTCGCGAAAACTCTGAGGAGAAGAGACCACACCAACGAATCCATGCAGTTACAAAACTCGGCATGAAAGACAACAAACCTATCAGTGGGTCTATACTATCAACTTCTTAAGAATTTAGGGCAAACTGAATACACACTGCTATGGGAGTTCAGAGGAATCAAAATTGAAATCCTAAGGCTTAGTCATCAGCATCCTGTATAAAAATGGTCAAACAGCTCAATGTTCACATTTTAGAGAAAAACATTGTTGATGCTCTTGTTTGTTGGTACAGTAAGTTCTAGAACACATAAGATAATTATTGGTCCTGCACTGTCAGGCAGCCACTGAAGCAATAGTGCCACACAGCTAAGCAGTAGTTGCCACAGTATCATTAAAGCCATATGTCAAATATCTGGAAGGTGTTAAGAGAGTCACTGTAAGGTTTAGGTAGTAATATTTCATTCAAATCAGTTAATTAAAACACACTGAGTCTCAAGAGATATGTAATCACTGAACAAAAAAAGGAAAGTTGGGGAAAGGGAGTATCTCTTGAATATAGTTCAAGAGATGTTTTAAAATGAACAAATACTACAGAATTCAGAAAGCTTCACTGTAATGAAGCTAACGAGGAAACAAACTACAAAGGCAAACCTTTTATGTGTTGGAAGATACAAATGTGCCAAACAGCCACCTCTGAAAGAATCATTGTATTGTCATGATAAAAGTGAACAAGAAGATATCACCAAACTAAATTTCAGAAAATGTTTTTCAGCAACTTTCATGGATGAGGTGCAATTCCTATACCAGACCTGTTATTTTTTGGTACTAAGAAGAAAGCTATCTCCAGGACTAGAAAGCAAATTTAAAAACCTGCAATAACACTTTCATGTCTCCCGATCTAAAAATATAATTGAAGGCAGACTGCCTGCATTTTACAAGGAAAATAATTGGCCTAATAAGCTATTACTCCACTTTATAAAGTCCTACTTCAGTTTGGGTGATGCGTATTTACAAGTTTAGGAAGAGTTTAAGAGTAGCTTAGCTGAAATATTAAAGCATCCAATCTCTGGTTTAAAGTAAGTCAGGAGGTTTACAGTGTAGAAAATATCTGTTTTTTAAACAAACTTGTAGGGTAACATGAGAAATATAAGACTGTAAATCTAGTATCTGTAGGGGAGAAAGTAATTAAAAAACGTAACACCTAGAAAAGCATGATCTGAAAGTGTCTAGCTAGCACTAGTCTTTTGTGAAGATAATTATGCCTCAATAATCTCTTACAGAAGCGTCTAAGAGGTAATGAATATATAAGAGCTGGCAGGCATAATTTAGACTTTCAAGGGTTTGGCCAAGTGGCGTAACATAGAGCTCAGCAGAAACCTGAATCCTCATTGTAAACTTGCATTGTAAACAGCCTATGCTGTTTCTGCCACTCAAACTACCTTGTTGACAGAAATGCATAGCACCTGATGATAAAGTTTAAAAATAGTCCAAGAGACTTTTGACACAAAAGGCTACTAAGAAAAAAAAGTCCTAGGTCAGGGATAAAATATCAACATGGACATAACGCAGACCTACATTTCTGTTAAGGGCAAAAGTTTAATGATAGATCACCTCATACTCTGTTTAGATACTGTTTCACAGCAGTTAGTCAACTGTGGTACTACTTCACCAGTTATATGCAAGTTAAGCCTGTAGTCCATATGAATATCTGAAATGCCTTGTTCCGCTCCAATAGTCTCCGAGTTTGGGACTCTGCTGAATCATTTATGAACTGAAAAAAGGAACAAGTAGAAAACCAACAAATATTAGAGGATGGACAGTTAGGTCAGTCAGGATCAGAGAGACAGCAAGAACTCAAGAAGTCTAGAAGGTAAATGAATAGGAGAACACGTTACCAGAAAATAAACTAAAATTGGATAAATGCAGGGAAATGGAAAGTATAAACATTATAATGGGGTTTACAGGATTTATACAGTTTCTTATGATGATGATTTGTCATAGGAGGATGTGATCACAAAAGTCAAGCCAATAGGATAAGACAGACATAGAATAATGACAACAATACAGAGAATATTTAAGTACAGTTATATAAAGCTGAGAAATAGTCTTATTTAGGATACGCTCTTTATTTCTGGTCACCCTAGCTCAAAACTGAAATTGCAAAATTATCAGGGGCTAAGAAAACAAGCAAAGAAGATGAAGAAAACTCGCAAGAAAAGAGATTAGGGAGACTGGCATCATTTATCTTAGGAGAAGCGTAGGAGGGAAAATATAAAAAGGTTTCTAAGTGGACATTTAAGGACAAAGGATGCTTAAAGTCTTAACACATGGAGATTAAACATATTATGATTCTACAGAAACAACATTTCTGACTGACAGCTCATATTTACATTTCTGTATGTTTTAAATTAATCTTTTCCTATTAGAAAAATGTTATCCTGAGTTCCCCCACCCCATTTCAACTCCATGGGTTTTCTGATACTAAAACTTCTTAGCTAACTGTGGACATACCTCCAAAAGCTTTCGCTGTTTTACAAAGATAAAGCACAATTACCAGTATTCATTACCTGAGAAGCAAGCTGATTGCCCAGTAGGAAGAAATTTGCTCTCCAACTGCTTGCCGATACGATTATGGACATCAGGAATTTGACACCCTGCTCCTTGTGAGCTGCATAGCACAAGAAGAAATGGGTATTTTGAGCCATACCTCAAATGTGCGTGACTGGAGTCATGCACGTATGGCTTCTCCATACCTGTCCTCTGCTGTTCCCTTCCAGAAAATTCAGCATAAGAGTAGCAAGTCTTTGGTAACCTGCCAAAGGGCCTTCAAACTCCCAGGCATTTTTTCTTTTACTTAAAATTCTAGTAAGCTTATTTCTTCTTTTTATCCAAAAGTTGCTTTCAGTTAAGAGATGAATCTCTGTAGTATTTCCTGTTCCACATGCAATGCATTTTGTTAGGGATATTAGCGCACTATGAAGGGAGGGACAGAGGGACACAACTGTTGGGCTGGGTGGGCGGCTCCTCAGGCCTTGCCGGCCCTGCCTAGTCTCACCTGGGGCCCCCACCTGCACCCTGCCCCTGGGCCCAGGAGCCCCGCCTCAGTTCAGCCGGGGGCTGTCAGTCCCGGCCAAAGCTGTCACGGGGCAGGGGGGGGCAGCAGCTGCCGGGGGACTGAAACAGGGTCACGGGCCGAAGGCGGGGGAAAGGGGGAGGCCCCACGCGGGGCTGGTGAGAGACCAGGGACCTCCCCGAGGCTGGGCAGTCGCGGGGGGCCCGCCCCTCGCCGCTGCGCATGCGCGCCGCGCCCCGGCTGCACTAGC